GCAAGATTGAGTTAGGGGTGATGGTTTAGAGATTTTGTTATAGTGGTTTTAAGGCTTTTTTTACAAATGGCAAGAAAAGATTAGACAAAGATTTTTTTTAATTATCTGTGTAGGCTATCCCGAGTAACGCGTCTCCTAAACGGCTTGTGAAGAAGTATTTAGAGTTTTGTTGGACTCTACCTTATTATGGAAGTGCATTTTTTAGGTAAATTAAATAGTATTTTTTATCAATTTTTTGCTCTGAAAGTTTAAAGTAAGATTGAACTTTGATATCTCCAGGATTACCCATAACGGAGGGAGACTTCAGAGACGACTGTTCGGAATTTTTTAAGTTCTTAGTTTTCGTGTATTATAGATTTTTTTTTTACCAAACCATTAAGTAAGCCAAGAACAGAAGACAGAAGTTCAAATCTAACATCCAGGTCGTCATATTTAACGATTTTTGGGTCGTCTTTGTAGTGTCATTGATATCATCCTTTGTGGATAACATTGTAGCATGCCTTCCAAAGTGGCAAAAAAAAATACTATTTTCAATTATCCCAATGGTCATGTCTTGCTGAAATTTAATGAATATTTATGATTTTTTGTACTTAACCTTTACTGAAAACTTATTTCGATGGACCAGAGGCAGCTTGCAGACTGATTTTATATACTGAGAAATCTGAGAAATTTTAGTGAAACATATTTGATATTTTTCATAGAATAAGTATTTGTAGGACAATCGAAAAAATTATAAATTGGCGACCAAGCCATTAAGATTAAAAAATCTGTTAGATTTACAAAACACAGACTCTAATATTAATAAAGTTTATGATTTAACCATGGATAAGCTAAAATAAGTAAAATGAAATATGCAACTAAATTTTATGCTCATACAATATTGGATTTATAAAAAAAAATTTAAATTATGAAAATTTGCATTTAAATCAAATTATCGAAAATACCGTGTGTGTTAATGATTTTTTCATTTTATACTTATAAACAGTGCTCAAGCTAAAAGATTATTAATTATTGTTTTCTTTTAAATATTTGATGGGTTTTTTGACAGTACACAAGCGGACAGATTATTTATTTTTATTTTTGTTTTTTTAGAACTGTTTCCAAATTTTGTTTATCTTATTGTTTTCTACACAAAAAATCTTTCGTGTATCATTAAAAAAAGTCCAATTTTGTCATGTAATTATTCAATCATACAAGTGCAGTTTGGAAAACGTAAAAATCTATTTGTTCAAATTGTTTGATTTGACAAAAATATTTGTATTGTCATTGATTATTGTTGAAATTACATAAATGTTCACAAAGGTTTATGAAATTGTTCATTATACAAATTATAATGAAAGGAATTGAGTCTTTGCCACAAATTTTGCTTTTCTAAACCGCATCTTTGGATTCCAATGTCGTAGACCTTAGATATTTCAAACTATTAATTCTGTTAGATCAAATGATAAGTTTGAAATATCAAAGATTCACGACATTGAAATCCAAAGATATAGGGATTATAAATTCAGAGTTTGTGGCAAAGACTCAATTCCTTTGTTTTTGTTTGTTTTAATTCCACACTATAGAGTGAAAAGAGCAAAGGAGTTCAGTTTTTGCCACAAACTCTGATTTCTAATCACGATATCTTTTTAATCCAATGTCGTAGAGATAAGATTACCAATATGGATATGTATAGGTTTATGAAATAGTTTATATCAAATTATAATGAAATACTGAACTAAACAACCTCAATCTAGATATAACTGGTATAAAGTTAAAATGTGGAATTACTCTCAACTCCTTCTAGACACTCAAAACAAAACTGTTGGACTGCATTAAAGGATTTCAAAACAAATTTTTTTCTTTTCAAAAACTTATTGCTCAATTTAAAATTAAAATTCAGTCAAACGTAAAATACGGTTTTTTTTCAGAGGACAGATAGAAACACCAGCTAAGTCCCTCGGGAGCCTTATTATAAACGAGGACACCGAGGTCCTAGTTGCAATCAACAGTACAGGACTATACGTCCTAGATCCGGTAATTAAAGGACCAGATAGTGTTATAATAGGACTAGGGTCTGAAATTCCATTTATTTATTTATTTATTTCTAGGACTAAATATCTCCATATTTCTAAATATCTCTATATATCTAGGTAGGGGTTGTAGTACTGCTAGGCATAAATATCTCTTTTTCTCTTGGTAGGGGTTTTAGTACTGCTAGGACAAAATATTCCTATATCTCCAGGTACGGGTTGTAGCACTGCTAAATATCTCTATATATATAGGTAGAGGTTGTAGTACTGTTCTAACTAAATATCTCTATATCTCTAGGTAAGGGTTGTTATACCACTAGGACTAAATATCTCTATGTCTCTAGGTAGGGGTTGTAGTACTGTTAGGACTAAATATCTCTTTATCTCTAGGTAGGGGTTGTTGTACTGCTAGGACTAAGTATCTCTATATATTTAGGTAGGGGTTGTAGTACTGATAGGACTAAATATTTCTATATCTCTAGGTAGGGGTTGTAGTACTGCTAGGACTAAATATCTCTTTATCTCTAGGTATGGGTTGTAGTACTGCTATGACTAAATATCTCTATATCTGTAGGTAGGGGTTGTAGTACTGCTAGGACTAAATATCTCTATATCTCTAGGTAGGGGTTGTAGTACTGCTAGGACTAAATATCTCTATATCTCTAGGTAGGGGTTGTAATACTACTAGGACTAAATATCTCTATATCTCTAGGTAGGGGTTTTAGTACTACTAAGACTAAATATCTCTATATCTCTAGGTAGGGGTTGTAGTGCTACTAGGACTAAATATCTCTTTATCTCTAGGTAGGGGTTGTAGTACTGCTAGGATTGAAGTTTGAAGAGCTGAGTTGGGATTATGCTAAACCAAGTCAGGAGAACAATGAGGATTGTCTTCCTTGTCTCTTTATCCAATTCTGCGTTATTGAGAACGGACGGAGGGTTTCAAAAATCCTACAGGTAAGTTGCTAACCACTGAAATAAATTGTAGAATACATAAAACTGTGGAATACGAACACATCAGTTGAGCAATCTTATGTGAATTAAATGCTGTTTTACAGCTAAAATTTTACAAAGAGCTTTAACATCAAATTATTAAGTGAAATGTGTCTGTGTATAAAGTGCATAATTGCTGTGTTTCTTGTTCATTGCACTATTGCAGCTCATACTTTTAGCAGAAACAATCGTCTTCTCTTGTAATAGTCTTTCGGGTCTTACTGTATTACCCTGGTTAGTACCAAGATTATATCTAGGTGTTCTCAAGGCAAGCAGTTCAAATGGATTCTCTTTTCTCCGGGTTTGTCAAGGATATAAATGAAGGATTATATCTAGGTGTTCTCAAGGCAAACAGTTCAGATGGATTCTCTTATCTCCGGGTTTGTCAAGGATATTAATAAAGGATTATATCTAGGTGTTCTCAAGGCAAGCAGTTTAGATGGATTCTCTTATCTCCGGATTTGTCAAGGATATTAATGAAGGATTATATCAAGGTGTTCTCAAGGCAAGCAGTTCAGATGGATTCTCTTATCTCCGGGTTTATCAAGGATATTAATGAAGGATTATATCTAGGTGTTCTCTAGGCAAGCAGTTCAGATGGATGCCCTTATCTCCGGGTTTGTGGAAGATATAAAACAGAAAGCTGCTCTATACAGGAGAGAGATGGTTTAAATGATTCCTTGTGTAGAAAGTTAGAAATGGAGTCAAACCTTATAGAAATCCAACGTATAGAAACAGCTACGTACAGCAACAAGGCGTATTTTCCGGGAGAACATTTTTTATATTTTTGAGAAATTAAACGTTTTTGTAAAACATTGTATAGCTTATCACAATCATTATCATAATTTCTATTTTTTAACATACCCTAGACATTAAAGGAGCAAAATAGTTTAATATGTACATTTGTACTGCTCTCTATTGTGTTTAAGGTCCCCCAGATTTTAATATGTACTGACAACATAAATTAATGATTATATGGTTATACATAAAATTGCGTGTTACTATTGAAAAAATTATTTTATAAAAGTGCTTTCTACAGTTTTTATTTTTAGAAAAAAAAATTTCTTAAAATTATAAAAAAAAGTTCTCCAGTAATGCTAGTATGATATCATAAAATTCCGTTTTACCATTTAGATAAAAGGATTTTACAAAAATTATATCTACTTTACACTGATTGTTTAATTTCTCAAAAATATAAAAAATGTTCTCCCGGAATATACGCCTTGTTGCTATACGTAGCGGTTTCTATACGTTGGATTTCTATAAGGTTTGACTCCATATTATTTATTAATAATTGGTTAAATATCCAAATTAAGGGACTGTGTACGTAATTTCATGTAATATTCTCCTCTTAAGTAACGCTTAAAGAGGGTTATGGTCAATGATAATGATTATGATATATTAAAAGATACAATTCTATTAGATTCTTAGTTGAAAAAAAGATATTCTGGAAATAGACAGATATATGTTTAATGGTTATCTAAACTTAAAGGAACTGTTTTTAGTCGATCCGCACCAGGTTTTAAATGAGGAGCTATAATTTAGACATTGGATTTTATCTCTTTTATTCTAAATGTAACTGATTACCCACCGAGAACTTTGATTTTTATTCCTTATATCTATTGTTGTAAGCTTTAAATTTTTGATCAACCAGCAGCATTCAAAATTTGAAAAATCAATGTCTACGACATCAGGTTGCTTCAATAAGGGGATTAAAAAATTAGAGTTTGAGGTATGGAATCAGTTTCCTAATCATTTATTGGTAAAACAGCATCAAACCTGCTTTTTCACAGTAGCGAGGACAGCGATGGTAATGTTTTTACAGACAACACAGCTGCAGAGACGGACGGTGGGTTTTCGACAATTAACATTATTATTATTACTAAGATTGCTTGGTTCCCTTGACAACTGTATCAAGACGTGGAGTTCCTGAGAGTTGCTTAAGTAACAAGTTAAACAGGTGAAATAATTAGATACTTAGATAATAAACAATAAGACGACATTTGCAACCTTCTGTATAAAAAATAAAATTGAACACTTGAAACAAATCCGTTTATTTGCAACCTGTTGGATGTGAACATTTGATATTCTGAACTTAGACTATTTGATTGATTTAGAAGAATTCATAGTCTGAAATTACCAAAAATAGATGGATTAAAAAATTTTATTTGTGAAGAGTGTTTAGGTTCTTGTTTTCAAAAAGTGAGATACTTAAACTTTAATGTTTTTAACTGACTTTTTAAAAAGAGATATAATATATTTCATAAAAATGTTTAGGTTGACCTTGGCAACGTTTGACGATGAAGGTCACTGTATTGGTCACATGGGGTCATGGTCATTCTCCAGCTAAAGGGAAAAGTTATGTGTCTTCATACCAGGGTTTCCAGCGAAAAGGGTAAATCGTTTCGCGAAAAAAATGCGAAAATGTTTGGGGGAAAAAAATTCGCTTAATTATTTTGCAATTTTTCGCTTGATTCACTTTTACGAAATTTCACGAAAAGGTTTGCGAAAAACGAACAAAAATTTCAGCATTTTTTCGCGAAAGTTTTCGTTCGCTGGAAACCGTACTTCATACGTAACAGCATACTTTGTAATGTAAATACAAAAAAAGCTTTTTAGATCTGTAATTACTTTTACCTTACGAATAAAAGAATAAGTAAAAACGTTGAAAATTTGAAATAAAATGCATGTAAACAAAAAAAATTGAATAAATGTGAAAACACTTCAAATTGATTTTTTAATGATATTTAAATTACATTTTTATGATGCAATGGTGCATAAATCTTTTGTATACTAAAATCAACTAAGTTATTTTCGAAAATCAACTTTTTCATCCAGTGCATATATATTTGAAACAGGTTACTGGCTCCACATTTGCTGAAAAATTTCAAGGGTGTAATGCAAGGAAAGTTTATTGCGGTCGTGCAACTCTGCGTACATATTGAAACCAGTTCTCTCTGGGCGGAATTTGTAAACAAGAATAGATGCATCAGTGTTCTTTTAGTATCCGAGGATGTTAAAAGCATCAAATTTGATAATTCACATAGTAGTTTCCTATGACCAGAATATTTCGTTGATTTTTTATGTGAAAGATGGATCCCATGTCAGGCTGTAACATCCGTCTTGTGTTTACATTACCGCCCAGAGACAGTACACTGCAGTACAAAAGATGTGTACACTTCTGAAATAACTTTCCTTGCATAACATCCTTGAAAAATTTAGAGTAGATTTTTTGAAAATTATAAAATAATCTTGTATCTATTGTGTGCGAAATAGATATCAAAATGTGTAAAAAACAATCTTTTCTTTAAGAAAATTTCTTTTTGAATATATACAGAGAGAACCCGAAAACTGTGAAAAAGGAAGACTCAATTATAGATCAAAATACATGAGACAGAACAATGTTTACAATGAAAACAGACCCATATAACTTAATTAGTGATTTAATAAGTTAATAAGAAAACTATTTGGAAACAAAATCAAATACATTTAATTATTGATACCATGTCGTCTTCCTATTCCACAGTTTCCAATTCTCCCTGTAGGTTTTTGCGCCGAGCATCTTAAAAATGTTTTCCCACAGTTTGTAAAACTCTGAAGCTTTTATGAAATCGTCAACAATTTTCATTCATTTTGTAAAACGTGGATATTAAAAGGACTGTATTGTGATTGTCTGTGAACCTCCATTTCAAAAAAAAGGAGAGCATACCCTATTCACAAAGGTACCCTTTAAATCTTTATCTGACAATAGTGAAGAAGGTTTGCCTTTTTTCTGTCTTATTTTTTTCTGCTTTAAAAGTTGTTGTGTCTGACACTTAACCAAAGAGAATAGAATATATATTAGAGTGGAATTTACTAGAAAAAAAGTGTAAAACAGCCAGTTTTTTGCACTGTTTCCATACTGCAGGTGTACTTCACATATTTATGCTATATAACCTTTGGGGCTTTGGAACATCATTTTTAGAAAATCTCAAATTAATATTAAAAGAAACCCAAATTATGAAATAGGCTGGTTTCATAATTGACCAATGATCATCTCACATGCCTTTCACTTTACAAACGATGATTTTCAAATGATGTTTTTATTCACCTAATCCATTATAAAGTTTATTTAACAGCTTTAAAAAATTCGAAATTGAAATGGATAGTCTAAGGAACATACTGTATTAATGTACTCTACTGCATATAATTTGTGAACATTTACATGATTTGTACACTTTGAACTCCCTTTCAGGCTGAAAGGGACTGAAAAAATTCATACCGAGGGATTGTCTAAATTCCACTCTAATATATAGTCTATTCTCTTTGCAATTAACTCTATTATTTTTGTAAGTAGAAATGCACAAGTCACTTTTATTGAGAAACCAAATTCGAAAATAATTAAATTTGATCAGAGTTAAGATTTTAAGGAAACCGTTGTGGTTGGAACTTTCTACTCCATAGTCAATATATAATGAAGGATAAGGAGTTTGTTTACAAATACTTGATACAGGTTTACCCACAAAGGATGAGACTGAGAGTGACTAATGTACGAAATTTGTACTGCCTGTCTGTTTCCTAGTATTTATGATTCCTTGCAACTGCAAATTATTTTAAATCATATATTAACCCTATCCCCGCTGGGGTACTTGAAAACCAGGATACGCTGGGGGGGGGGGTCAATTTAAACAGCCTCAGACCAATACTTTTTGAGTTATGTAAAAAAAACTACAGGGGGGGGTCAAATTGACCCCCCCCCAGCGGGAATAGGGTTAAGCTATTTTAAAACTATTTTTAAGGCGAAAGACTTAATTTAAGCCTTAATTGTATTAATAATCATATTTTAAGAGTTTTAGTTCGTCTTTGCAGTCTTATTCTTTGAGGATAATATTCTGAATAAACTGAGATCTAGAAGTTTGTCATCAAATTTTTCGACAGTCTCCCCCCAATAGATTTTAGCACATTAGATGGCAACGTAGAATTTGTACACTCTCAGTACAGCTGTATTCTGACGTCACAAGTGTCAATTTAGTTTTTGTTTCCGACAAAATTATTAATAATGGTGAGAATTTTAGAATAAAGTGCTAATCTTAAAGTAAAATAATTGCATGTTTTATGTGTTCTTTATTTTCTGTTTTTAAACATTTTTTTTACTTGATCTTGGAAAACATGTCAACTAATGTGAGAAACTTTAGTTTTCCTTGTTATGTTTGACACTTGTGACGTCGTGTATAATATGTCTATTTCTCTGTTGCCACCTATTGTACACAGGGGTCAGTATTATTCCTTTTTCAATCCCATTTGGGATTGACAAATTTGAAAAAAATGGGTGCAAATTCTTTAATTGGGGGCAAATTTTTTTAAATGATAATTAAAAATAAAAAATTGGGATATTATGAGTGTT